GACTGCTGACGGAATCCGTGAAGAGGAGTAGCAGGAGAAGGAGCATCTGAACGAGCGGAAGATGCCAACGAGCGACAACTCCCCTCAGCAGAGGTGTTGGAGCCTTGACTGGCTGATGGAGGGCGATTGACGTCGGGTGACGGAGCAAGTAACGGAGCGGGTGATGGAGCGGGGGCTGGGGCGGGCAGAACCGCCGTATCTTTATCACGGTTTTCCCAGGCCACCAAATGGCGACGCTGCATATGCTGCCGCAACGCTGTAGTCCCAACATGGGCCCCCTGGCCACGCTTGACTTTCTGGCCACATAGTCGACATACGGCTACGTTTACTTCCTCGGGCGGCTTGACGAAAAAATTGCCACACCGCCGAGTAGGAAACTTTGCCCCCGATACTCCTCACTGGCTGACTGCTGCTGCTCCTCCGTGCACACCGGCACCACTACTGGCCGTGGTGGTAGGCTGCAGTGGAGCTGGTGCTCTACTCCGTGGCCGTTTGGCTCCACTGACACTGCTTCCACTGACACTGCTGCCCTGACCCTGCTGCTGTCTCCTGGGCAACCCACCGACTGTTTTTGCGCGCTCACTGCCAAGCTGCCACCCTCTTCTCCTGATGATGCGGAAGAAATTGCCTGATGACGACGAGGCTGCCAAGTGCGATCAACCTCCTCATCATCAAGTAGGGTCTCCGCCGCCTCACTACTAGCCCCCTCGGCTGCGTCTGGGTCAGGAGACAGACCTGTCTCTAGACCGGCTACCGGGCCACTCTCCTCGCCACTACTTCTTCGCCTGGCTGCTGAAAAGGCGGATGTCTCCCCCCGTTCCTGACCGCCCTCTGTTAGCTCTTCCTCACTGTACAGTGGGGCTGAGCCCACAGCATGCGATACTTCGCTTGGTGAGGGAACACCAAAGGACAGGGGCAGGTAGAGGACACGTGATTTCAGTGGGCTTGGTCCCGGGCCATGCCAACTAACGGTTGTGTCTGACGTACCCACCCGACCGTTGGCTGTAGGTGTCAGAGGTGACCTGGGAAGAGGAAGACGACCGAGCCAACCAATCGATGACGGCAGGGTTGTCGGTGGAGACACGACCGCTGGATGACACCGGGAGCACTGGCCTCTGGCTGCGAATAGTGCTGCCTCGACCCCTTCCTCTGCTGCCACGTCTGCTCGCTCCTAAAACATTGCCTCCTCTGCCACTCCTCTGCATGTTGTCTGACATACTCTTTAATTAAACGATTATGTGTCCCTGAGTAACAATTCTGTGTCCCTGAGTAACAATTCTGTGTCTGTGCGAGTAACAATTCTGTGGCCCTAAGTAACAGTTCTGTGGGCCCTCAGTAACAGTTCTGTGTCCCCTGAGTAACAATTCTGTGTCTGTGCCCTCAGTAACAATTCTGTGGCCCTGTGCGAGTAACAATTCTGTCTGTGGCCCTAAGTAACAATTCTGTGGCCCTCAGTGCGAGAAACAATTCTGTGGCCCTAAGTAACAATTCTGTGTCCCTGAGTAACAATTCTGTGGCCTGTGCGAGTAACAATTCTGTGTCTGTGCGAGTAACAATTCTGTCTGGCCCTAAGTAACAGTTCTGTGGCCCTCAGTAACAATTCTGTGGCCCTCAGTAACAATTCTGTCCCTGTGCGAGTAACAGTAACAATTCTGTGGCCCTAAGTAACAATTCTGTGGCCCTCAGTAACAATTCTGTGTCCCTGAGTAACGTTTCTGTGGCCCCAAGTAACAGTTCTGTGGCCCTCAGTAACAATTCTGTGTCTGTGCGAGTAACAATTCTGTGTCTGTGCGAGTAACAATTCTGTGGCCCTAAGTAACAATTTCTGTGGCCCTCAGTAACAATTCTGTGCCCTGATTAACGTTTCTGTGGCCCCAAGTAACAGTTCTGTGGCCCTCAGTAACAATTCTGTGTCTGTGCGAGTAACAATTCTGTGTCTGTGCGAGTAACAATTCTGTGGCCCTAAGTAACAATTCTGTGTGCCCTCAGTAACAATTCTGTGTCCCTGATTAACAATTCTGTGGCCCCAAGTAACAATTCTGTGGCCCTCAGTAACAATTCTGTGTCTGTGCGAGTAACAATTCTGTGTCTGTGCGAGTAACAATTCTGTGGCCCTAAGTAACAGTTCTGTGGCCCTCAGTAACAATTCTGTGTCCCCTGAGTAACAATTCTGTGGCCCCAAGTAACAATTCTGTGGCCCTCAGTAACAATTCTGTGTCTGTGCCCAGTAACAATTCTGTGTCTGTCCAATTCTGTGCCCTGAGTAACAATTCTGTGGCCCTAAGTAACAATTCTGTCCCTGTAACCCTCAGTAACAATTCTGTCTGTCCCTGAGTAACAATTCTGTGTCTGTGCCCTGAGTAACAATTCTGTGTGCTGTGCCTTGCTGAGTAACAATTCTGAGTAACAATTCTGTGGCCCTAAGTAACAGTTCTGTGGCCCTCAGTAACAATTCTGTGTCTGTGCGAGTAGTAACAATTCTGTGTCTGGCCCTGAGTAAACAATTGTGGCTGTCCCTGTAACAATTCTGTGGCCCTCAGTAACAATTCTGTGTCTGTCCCTGAGTAACAATTCTGTGGCCCTAACAACAATTCTGTGGCCCTAAGTAACAATTCTGTGGCCCTCAGTAACAATTCTGTGTCCCTGAGTAACAATTCTGTGGCCCTCAGTAACAATTCTGTGGCCCTAAGTAACAATTCTGTGGCCCTCAGTAACAATTCTGTGTCCCTGAGTAACAATTCTCTCTGGCCCTAAGTAACAATTCTGTGGCCCTCAGTAACAATGTGTCTGTGCCCTGAGTAACAATTCTGTGTCCTGTGCGAGTAACAATTCTGTGTCCCTGTGCGAGTAACAATTCTGTGGCCCTAAGTAACGGTTCTGTGGCCCTCAGTAACAATTCTGTGGTGCCCTGAGTAACAATTCTGTGTCTGTGCGAGTAACAATTCTGTGGCCCTAAGTAACAGTTCTGTGGCCCTCAGTAACAATTCTGTGTCTGTCCCTGAGTAACAATTCTGTGGCCCTAAGTAACAGTTCTGTGGCCCTAAGTAACAATTCTGTGGCACTCAGTAACAATTCTGTGGTCCCTGAGTAACAATTCTGTGGCCCTAAGTAACAATTTCTGTGGCCCTAAGTAACAATTCTCTGGCACTCAGTAACAATTCTGTCTGTCCCTGAGTAACAATTCTCTTGGCACTCAGTAACAATTCTGTCTGTCCCTGAGTAAAAAATTCTGTGGCCCTAAGTAAAGTTTCTGTGGCCCTGAGTAACAATTCTCTGGCACTCCGTAGTAACAATTCTGTCTGTCCCCTGAGTAACAATTCTCTGGCCTCAGTAACAATTCTGTCTGTCCCTGAGTAACAATTCTGGCACTCAGTAACAATTCTGTCTGTCCCTGAGTAAAAAATTCTGTGGCCCTAAGTAAAGTTTCTGTGGCCCTGAGTAACAATTCTCTGGCACTCAGTAACAATTCTGTCTGTCCCTGAGTAACAATTCTGTGGCCCTAATTAAAGTTTCTGTGGCCCTAAGTAACAATTCTCTGGCACTCAGTAACAATTCTGTCTGTCCCCTGAGTAACAATTCTCTGGCACTCCGTAACAATTCTGTCTGTCCCTGAGTAACAATTCTCTGGCACTCAGTAACAATTCTGTCTGTCCCTGAGTAAAAATTCTGTGGCCCTAAGTAAAGTTTCTGTGGCCCTAAGTAACAATTCTCTGGCACTCAGTAACAATTCTGTCTGTCCCTGAGTAAAAATTCTGTGGCCCTAAGTAAAGTTTCTGTGGCCCTGAGTAACAATTCTCTGGCACTGTGCGAGTAACAATTCTGTTCTGTCCCTGAGTATGAATTCTGTGGCCCTAACTAACGTTTCTTTGTCCCTAAGTAACAGTTCTGTGGCCCTGAGTAACAATTCTGTGTCTGTGCGAGTAACAATTCTGTGGCCCTAAGTAACAGTTCTGTGGCCCTCAGTAACAGTTCTGTGTCTGTGCGAGTAACAATTCTGTGTCTGTGCGAGTAACAATTCTGTGGCCCTAAGTAAAGTTTCTGTGGCCCTCAGTAACAGTTCTCTGCGAGTAACAATTCTGTGTCTGTGCGAGTAACAATTCTGTGGTCCCTAAGTAACAATTCTCTGGCACTCAGTAACAATTCTGTCTGTCCCTGAGTAACAATTCTGTGGCCCTAAGTAAAGTTTCTGTGGCTCTGGCACTCAGTAACAATTCTGTCTGTCCCTGAGTAACAATTCTCTGGCACTCAGTAACAATTCTGTCTGTCCCTGAGTAAAAATTCTGTGGCCCTAAGTAAAGTTTCTGTGGCCCTAAGTAACAATTCTCTGGCACTCAGTAACAATTCTGTCTGTCCCTGAGTAACAATTCTCTGGCACTCAGTAACAATTCTGTCTGTCCCTGAGTAAAAATTCTGTGGCCCTAATAACGTTTCTGTGGCCCTAAGTAACAATTCTCTGGGCACTGAGTAACAATTCTGTCTGTCCCTGAGTATGAATTCTGTGGCCCTAACTAGCGTTTCTTTGTCCCTAAATAACGATTCTGTGGCCCTCATTAACAAGTCTGTGTCCCTGAGTAATGGTTCTCTGTCCCTAAGTAACTTTTCTCTGTCCCCAATTATCGTTTCTGTGGCCCTAAACTCTGTCCCTGTCCCTAGTACAGAGCGGTCTGCCTCTGTTCAATAACTGCAGGCAAATGAAGAATTCCAAAATGGCCGCTATTTATAGCTCGACCATTACACAGTGCTGGCTGGCTGGCTGCTGATTGGCTGATGCGATCACATGTAGTTGAGGAATGCATTATGGGTCAGCGCGCCTTGTCTGCGCGCCTTCCCAGACATCCCCGCTCCGTCGCCGCACATGTCAGCCGCCATTTTCTGAAAAATTTCGATTTGCGCGTCCTAATTAGGCTATTTTTCGGATTCGGCACGAATCAAAATTTTTCCGATATTCGACTCGAATTCCACTTCGGATACTTCGATTCGCTCATCTCTAATGTCTGCAGTATGGGTTGAACAAAGCTCCGCTTACACAAAGCCTGTCTTGTCAATCTCTTAGTACCTGTGGTGAACATGCAGAATAACACTCCAGAAAGTAATCCACATCATCCTCTAATAACCATACCAGGGACTCTACCTGGTCGGCACTAAATGGTGGCAAAAATTCATCCCTGCATTCGGGGGTACCAGATGAAACCAACTCAGCACAAACCTGAATCAATGGCTGCACCTCAGAGAATTCTGTGCCCTGAGCTACTAGGCAACGAGCAATCCTTATACACTCTAGTAGTTGATCCCTGGGATACTCCTTCAGAGTCTGATAAGCATAATCCCTGTCATAAAACACTAGCAGAGATAAATACACCACCTCATCAAGATCCATCCTTCCCAGCAACAATAGGCCAAGATGGCTTCCCTGTGCACCCACTTCTGGTCAGGATTGGCCTTGGTGTAATGTCAGGGATGCGGGTGTGACCAGAAGTGTGTGGACTGACACAGGGAAACGTAGGCTTCAGATATAGTAAATAATATAATTTATTGAGACTAACAATACAAATATAAATGCAGTGCACCAAACCCCCAAGCTAACACAAATACATACAACAAGGTGTGAAACAAACACAAACCTAAACTGATATAGATACACAGGTACATTCACATATAGAGCACAATGTAGTCAGGCAGGCCGGGTCGATAACTATCGGGCAGGTAGGTACAGGAGGAGCAGGCGGAGAGAATGGTCAGGGTCACAAGCCAGGGATCAAACAGGAGAAGTCAGCAGAGGTCAGGGTCAGGCAGGGTCGGCAACAAGTCAGGCAGAAACAGGAACAGGAATGCAGGAATGCAGGAATGCAGGTTACAAGATACAGGGGCCATGGAAAAACACACACCAAAGCCCTGACTGTGAGTCTGGCCATTCCTTAAATACAACCCCTGCAATCAGCTTCAGGTGTTTTGGCTGACTGCAGGGGTGAGTCTCTGATTGCTGAGAGCACCCGCTGGCCAGCCCTGGTACTGCAGCCCACAAGGCAGGTGAGTCTCACCGTTATTGGCAAGTCCATTCCTGACAGGTAGATGTACGTAGCTGCTTGAGTTCTCGCGGAATAGAGTTGAGTAAAGGCTTGTGGTTAGCATTATATAGTTGGTTTGTTGTATTAGTAAGTTTCATTCCCAGATAAATTTTGGATTTTAGGTGGAGTGTATAAATTCAAAATGGAGGATTTTGGTTCGTTAAGTTTATAGTAAGAGATGTCTGAGTAATTGTGGAGATGAGTGCGTATCGTTTGGAGTGATTTGTAAGGGTTAGTGATCATGAGGATAATATCATCGGCGAAGGGACTAATTTTATGTTCTGTTTCAAGATGAGTAATACCCGTGACGGAAGGGTCGTCTCTGAGTTTGGATGCTAAGGGTTCAATCAGTAATGTAAATATTATGGGTGATAGTGGGCATCCCTGTCTAGTGCCATTGGAGATCTGGAAGGTTTGTGAGAGAGTACCATTGGTTAAAACTTTGGCGGAAGGGTTGGAGTATAGGGAGAGTATTGCTGATAACAACCAATCTATAATCCCAAATTTTTGTAGGGTGAGTTTCATGAACAGCCAGTTGATTCGGTCAAATGCTTTTTCGGCATCCAGAGACAAGAGTAATGAAGGTTGTTTAGTGGTCTCTAGGTTGTGTATTAGGGATATAATTCTTCTAGTTGCGTCAGGTGCTTGTCGGCCAGGGATAAAGCCTACTTGGTCTGGGTGAATTAGTGTGGGAAGGTATGGGAGCAACCGTTGTGCAAGAAGTTTGGCGTATAATTTTATGTCCGTATTTAAAAGGGAAATTGGTCTATAGTTTTGAACCAATCGGGGGGTCTTTATTTGGTTTGGGTATTGTGGTGATGATGGATTGTAGCATTTCAGAGGGGAAAGTACCTGTGGTGGCAGCATGGTTGAATAATGAAGATAAATGTGGTATAAGGTTGGGTGAGAACGTTTTGTAGAATTCATTTGAAAAGCCATCATTGCCTGGAGATTTGTTAAGGGGTAGTGTTGAAATGCTTTGTTGTATCTCTGTGGGAGAAATTGGTAGAGATAAGGATGTAAGCTGAGATGGTGTAAGATGAGGTAGATTGGTATTGTCTAGAAAATTTTGAATGGTTTCAGTTGTGGGTTGGCATGTGTCAGGGTCATTATTGATGTTGTACAATTGTCGGTAGTACGTTGCAAAAGCATTGGATATATCTTGTGGGTTAGTAAGTAGTGTTTGTGTGATGGACATTTGCAATTTTTGATTTAAGTCGTTTTTGTTTAACTGTTTTCTATAAGAGGGAGCTTGCTTTATTGCCTAGTGCATAAAAAACTTGGATTTAGTTCTCTGGAGGTTGAGATCGTATTTGTGTAATAGAAGGAGTCGTAATTTATTTCTATCTGAGGTCAAGGTTGCGGCCGTGAGTGGGTTTGGGTTATTTTTGTTGGGCTCTTCGTTAAGTTTGATGGTGGTTAGTAATTGGTCAATTTGGTGGGATCGTTGTTTCTTGATATGGGAATTTAGTTGTATGAGAATGCCTCTCATATATGCTTTATAAGTGAGCCATAGTGTTGTAATGGATATGTCGGGAGTAGAGTTGGTGTCAAAGAATAAGTTGTGAGCATCTAATAGATGTTTCTGGTTATCTATGTTTTTCAATATTATGGAATTTAATCTCCAAATGGGCGGGAGTGTTGCGCGTTGATTGTCGTCTATCGAAACGTTGATTGGAGCATGGTCTGACCAGGTGATCGTGCCGATGGAGGACAAAGTTATATGTTGCAGTGTCCATTTGTCCGTCAAGTAAAAGTCAATTCTGGAGTATGCAAGGTGTGCAGGAGAATAATAGGTGAAATCTCTTTCAGTGCTGTGTTGGCATCTCCAAATGTCGTAAAGGTTGTGGTTGTGTAGAAATTGATTGAAGGATTGTTTAGGTGCTCTTCTGAGGAAGGATGAATCCATTTGTGAATCACCAATAATATTGAAATCTCCTCCACTTATAAGTCTCCCTTGTTTTAAAGAAGTAACGGTTTTGTAGAGCTTGTTGTAGAATTTGATCTGGTGTTTGTTGGGACCATAAACGTTCACTAATGTATAGAGGATGTCATTTAGTCAGCAAATTAGGATATGATAGCGGCCTTGGGAGTCGGTGGTTTCGGATATGAAGCTGAACTGGATAGAGTCTTTTATGGTGGTTATGAGGCCATTTTTTTTTCTTGGGATTAGTAGCCAAAAAGAGATGCGTAAATCGGTTGAGGTGGAGTTTGGGAGTTCTGTTTGTAGCAAAGTGGGATTCCTGTACAAAGATGATGTCGGCCTGAGATTTTCTCGTTTCTTTTTGGAGCATCGACCTTTTGAATGGTGAATTTAAACCACGAACGTTAAGAGAAGTGAAATGAATCATATTGTAATGTTTGAGAGCTGAGTTGAGAATTGCATTGGAGTCTTGAGAGAGTAAGAGGTTTTGTGGTTATCGGTGCTGAAAAAGGTGTTTCGGCAGTTTGGTTAGAGCTGTTTAACTTAAGTCTCGTATTTAAGATGAGAACTTCACAAGAGTGCAGCGGAAACTGGTGATCAGTAGATCTATAGGAAACGACTGATGGTACTGAGGTGGAAAGGGGAGGTGAGGGTGGTAGAGGGTAAAAAAAAATACTTGCAGATAATGCAAGTGGTCTGAGTAGCTGATCGTGCTACTACAGATATGGGGGGTTTGATTAGGCTTCGACCATAACGTAGGTCATGCCAACTAAAACTTGAGAACATAGAAATTTTCTAAACATGGCCGACCGCCAGAGAATAATAAGGTGGTATAGCAACTTGAGGTATAAGAATGGTGAGATGTTAGGAGTTGGTTGCAGTTGGATTATTCATCTTCCATATTTTGGAGCGTAGTAGGTGTGGATTGTTGCATTTCTCCAGGGATAATATTCCAGGCTTTAAGGAGGTCTAAGCCCTCTTCAAGGTTTTTGACAGTAAAAATTCGGCCCTGCTGTCTGATGGTTAATTTTGTGGGGAATCCCCATTGGTAGGCTATGCCGTGGTTTGTTAAGGCTTTAGTAATAGTTATAATTTTCTTGCGATTAAGTAGCGTGCCCTTTGAGAGATCTGCGAACAGCCGGATATTGGCATGGGACGGTGGGAGTGTAGTTGTGTTCCTGGCTGCTAGAATAATTTTGTCCTTGATATGATAGAAATGAATTTGAGCCAGGACATCTCTAGGGATGGATGCTGACAGAAACGCAGGTTTGGGTAAGCGGTGGGCTCGATCGATAGCCAATTCAAGGTCAGAGAGAGATGGAATGAGGAGTTTCATGTATTGTTGGATGTGGGGAAGCAGTGCTTCGTTAGTGACACTTTCCGGGATGCCCCTGAATTTAATATTATTTTGTCTTGATCGATCCTCTAAATCAGCAAGCAAGTTTCAAATTGATTTGGTCGATGTCGGACGTATGTTCAGTATGTGCGTCAATTAGGTTGTTGTGCGCTGTAACGATGTAACTAATTTTGGATTCAATATGTTGTATTCTGTGTTCTTGGTGTTGGATCGCGGTATATGAGTTGTAATAGTGATGATGATATGTCATTATCTAGGGTCTGTCTTAACGATAAGAGCATATTTTTCATAGATATTTCCGTCAGTGGTTGCTCTACCACTGGGAATGCCTCTATTGCTGGAAGGTCTGCATTAATTTGAGGAAATGGGTGAATAGGGGCCTGGTGGTCTGGTCTTTGGTGTTCTAAGTTCAGTCTAGGTCTTGATTTGGCCGGGCTACTTGTGGTGGGGGACATAGGGGGAGACAACTCACCAGGATCCCCTGGGTATAGTGGATGCTGCAGCCTGGGATCTGTCATCTGACTCCGTGCTTTATTTTCCTGCCTGCAGTCCCGTTTGTCCGCCGCTGGCGCCATCTGGATTCCTGTCGATATGACAGGGAAGATTTGGGAGTTTTCCGGGCTGTCCCGGGGTTTTTCTGCTTCTTGGCATGCCTGGGGAGGTGCGGGCACCTCTTATAAAGGGTCTGGTGTGCTTGGAATTCCCTGGTGGCTGAGTGAGCCGCTCGTGTCACTGGCGACTGGACAGAGAGCTCCGCTCTAAGCGTCCATTCGGGTGCCGGCTGCGCATGCGCCCTTCCAGACATGATATTTAAAGGAATTATTGTTTATTTGTTTACTTTAAACAATGACAAATGACTGCCCCTTTAAAACTGTACTTTTTGAAAAAACTGTTTTCACTGATTCATGTCTGCATACCCCTTTTTAAGGCCAAAAACGTGCAAGCAAGCCTTCAAAATGGGCATGTTTGAATTTACAAGTGAGTTTCATAGACTTGCATTGAGCTTGAAGTTCGTTGAATATGTATTGGGTTTGAACGTTCGAACGCAAACCGAACACAGGGGAGTTCAGCCCTTCACAATTCACTTCTACTACCCAACACAATGGCTCTTCTCAGAGCCACCCACAT